AACTAGGTTTAACCATGTAGGACTACTTTAAACAAATAAACATTTTCATGACACCTGAACACTGGAACCTAATAAATGCTGGATTTCTGATTATATTGTTAAAGGGACTCCTGGACTGTTTTACTTAAAACATTATTCAACCAAAGAAGCAGATTAAAAGAAACTGTAAAAAAATTGCCTCTAAAGGATTGATTCTGTAACAATTAATAGTTTTTGGGGATGAAGAACTACTTCACAACCTATATTAACATTATGTTCCTTTCTTCCCCATTTCCCCCTTTGCTATACTTTAGTATAAGAGTTGAGGAAAAAACTAAGCTAATAAGAATTTATGAAAAACAGTTTCTGGTATATTGCAAAACTGTGTATGCATTCCAAAGTATACCAAATTAAATGTTCTTCTCCCATGCAAATATTCTGTTTTTATATACAAAGAAGCTTTATATCACAGTCTTGCTTTCAGCTTTCACATGCATGTCTACTTGAGTGCCACTTTAGAAAATAAAAATACAAACTGAGGATACAGCTAGTATTAATAATGAATTTTTTTCAAATGATTAGTAGAACACTCCCATTAAGTATATATGCAAGTGATGCTCTCTAAAAAAACCCTCTCATAAATCTATGTAACTAATAATGGCATATCCATGAGTGTGATACATGTAAATGTTGTGAGATTATTTACTGAAAAAACACTGGTCACAATCCAGAAGAATGTGCAATTAAATCAATTTATGCCAATGGCCCTCAGGTGTGCCAAACTCTGGACTGTGGTTATACACTTCACTGAAGATAACATCCCAACCCAGTACACAGCAACAGCTTCCACTGAAATCAGTGCAAATGTATTCCATATAATGGTCTCAAGATACACACCAAAAGAGCCACAGACCTGAGCACAATGGATGTGTATGGTGCTGTGGATCTCAAACTGAGGGCCCCCTGCATCACAAGGAGCTGGCCAGAAGAGGGAGCCATAGGTATATCGAGTAAGCTAGCTGCTGTGGCTTGGGTGCTATCAAAGCAACTGGCTGCAAAAAAGCACTACAAGCTCAGTAAACTTTCATTTTGCTTACTCCGCTGTCAATAAGAAATGCACCTTTTGTACATCTTAAGTATTTGCTACAGTTTATTTTATTTACTCTGGTTGTCTCTCTTGAAAGGACCACGTTCCTGCGGAACTATCTGCCTGTTACCTATTGTACTTGCTGTCTGTTTCTGCCCTGCTTTCTCTGTTGTCTAAATTCTGCTTGGGGGAGGGAATATACATGCATTTTGCTTTGTATCCTAACACAAGGCCTCCGTTCTACCATTAACACCTCCGAGAACAGGATCTCAAGTAGCAGGTGATACACCTGGGACTATGAAGACATGCAGCTACTTTATTGCTACGGGTCGTGACCAGCACAAAATAAATTACAACCGTGTACATAAGTCTTAGAAATTTTAGAAAATATACAATATTAAAACTACTGAATGGCCTATGCATTTTTAAAATCACAGAACAAATTGAGCAAAATATCTGAATTTTATGGTTCGGCTACATTCTGAGTTAATTCCCTATGAATTCTACATGCTGCTGTAAGAAATCTGGCACAAGGGAGTGTGAACTGAGGATTTGTGTCTGAAAGGAACTTCCTCATAATTTCAGATTCAGAACAGGCAGAGAACCTCCCAAGCAAGGGTACAATAATCTTTGCATTAATTTCCTGGTGGAAATGGCAGTGAAGCAAAATATGCTAGTTTGGCTTGACCTTCCCTGCACAGCAGGGCCTCCACTACTGCAGAGGGGAGTATATTCCATCTAGCCATAGAGTAAGCCCTATGGTGGGAGGGTATGTCTAACAACAATAAAGAGGCTGCTGGGGGTTACAATGTATCTAGTGTTTGTTGGCACCAGGAAGTTTGAAACTCTATCCTAAAGATAAGAGAATCGGATTTTATAAAAACCTTATAGAGATTGAAAAGATTATGACATCTATGGATCAGAAGCTTTTACGAAGACTGTATGTGTTGTTACTTGATGATTTAATGGTGGATGAAATAGTAAAAGGGAATATGATTCAGTGGGGGCAGAATATTGGGCATACTGTTTAATTAGAGCAGTGGGATCAAATATGGAAGAAAAATATTAGGATTACGAAAGCTATTCCGTATAAAGAAAATGTATATAAAATGTTTTATAGATGGTATGTAACACCTGAAAGGTTAGCTAAAATTGACCCGAAATGTTCTAATAAGTGTTGGAAATGTGAAAATAAGGTTGGCTCATTGTACCACATGTGGTGGCATTGTGAAAGATCTAAGAAATATTGGGTAATGGTACACGAAATCTTGCAAAAGGTACTAGGTACTGTAGTACCATTTACACCAGAGGCTTTGTTGTTGAATATTCTACCTGATAATTCTAACAAAGATGATCGCTATTTGATTGTTTTTTTAACTACGGCTGCAAGAATTCTCTATGCAAAATATTGGAAATTACCGGAGATACAAACAAAACAAGAACTTGTAAACAAAATCTTGGAGGCTGCGGAATTGGATAAATTGACTTTATTGATAAAAGGTGCAACAGATTCGACATTCCAGAATACTTGGTCACGGTTCTATAACTGGTATGATAAACATATGTAGGCAAGCTTGCAAGAGACAGACTAAGAGTGTACTAAATGAAATATATACCTGTTAGGATGATAGAGACAGAAAAGTTGCTTACACAGCTCATGAGAAATTGTTATTAAGGTGGAATAGGCACCAGTATAAATATTGGTAAAAATCGAAAATAACCTCCATGTGTCTGTTTGTACTGTTTGTATGTAAAAAAGAAAAGAAACTCTATCGATATCCCTCTGCCGTTCAGTGTCCAGTATTCTTTGCTTAATCAAGGCCTTTGCTTGATCTAAGGTCATTCTTAACAGAAACTCTGGGGAGAGATCTAACTCATTCAACTTGTGATAGACTGCCTTTAACCAAGTGGATCGAAAACCATCCCTGAGAATCAACAATGTAAAGTCCTGGGAGGAATGGTTTGGTTTAAGCCACAGATTAATGGATGTGTGGTTTACTTTAGCCTCTAATCTAATCATACCAGAATCTAGGTGCAGACTTGAGTTTGAAACACAGTTTGGGAATTGGAATATTGCTCTTAAAATTTTTGATTGTATTCTTTCTAACACGAAGATGGTGGGCCTAATATTGTCCTATATAGAAGTTGGGAGACCATTTTGGATATAATTTGTGGGCCACTGGAAGATATTGCCCACTGTTTATATTGAAGAATCTTAGAATAGCCTGTACCAATTTTTGACCTATATTGGTCACATACTTGTGATGGGCCTTCCTCACTCCAGAAGGTTGAATCATCACACCCAAATATTGAATCATCACGCCCAAAAATACCTGCTCAATTTTATGGGTGTTAATACTCGAAGCGCTGGCTTTAGGTCTCTTACCAAAATATACAATTTTAGTCTTTTGGTAATTAATCCCTAAGATACACCTGGGACCATTAATTGTTTTCCAAAAACCTTACTACAGCAGGATTGTCCTAGGACTTTGTAGAGCTGCTAACAGTACCAAACTAGACAGACAAATGGTCTGTTTTAGTACAAGGTAGCATCACAAATGTGCGGCTTGTTTGCTTCAAGATTTACAGGTCCGCCTGGCTACCACTGCAAATCCCCCTTTTCATGTTCTAAGGCTGGTCTGTACCTTGTTGTGTGCAGCACAACATCTTGTTCTGTCTGTACCTTGTTGTGTGATAGAGATGCAGTCTACGATTAGAAGGCAGGCCATGTTTTGAGTTTCAAAGCAGAAAAGTAAAAATAACTTTCCCCCATTTTTCTGGTGATCGATGAGCCAAGAGATTATATGCATATACAATGTCTCCCTTCCTTGGACATTCTTAGATTTTAGGTTAAAGCCAAAGATATTTTGCTTTATATCATAACACAAGGCACAATTAATTAAGCAGGTGTACAGCACATCATGGGATTTCTGTGCTTGATTTTCTGCTGACTTCCTGAATGAAATTATATCTGCTCATTCACACACATTATCCATTTATTTTTTTCTAATTTGTGACAGCCTGCCACTTGTATATATGCATATTTAAAAAGTAAATAAAATTGTCTAGGTTTTAAAGATATTTATTTATTCAGCTCTTAGAGTAATGAGCTACCAAGCTAAACACCTAGCATCACAAATGCATAATTAACTGAAGCATTAACTAAATAATTTATCAACTTTTCTGTTTCCTTTATCTGAGAATATTTTCAAGAATCTGGTTGGGACACTGTGTATTAATCCCTTCTCCTTATTTTACAGAATTTTACAGCAATTTTAACTTTAAAAGCATCCTCCAAGCCCCCCACACCAGTTGGCTTGGCTTGGAGAAGGTATTTAAAGAGGCAAATGCCTTCTCCAAGCCAGCCGGCGGGGGGTGGGGCTTCTTTGAAGAAGAAGAAGAAGAGATTGGATTTATACCCCGCCCTTCATTACCCAAAGGAGTCTCAGAGCAGCTTATAAACTCCTTTCCCTTCCCCTCTCCACAACAGACACCCTGTGAGGTAGGTGGGGCTAAGAGAGCTCTGGTAGAAACTGCTCTTTTTCAAGGACAGCTTTTTCAAGGACTATGGCTTACCCAAGGTCATCCAGCAGGTGCAAGTGGAGGAGTGGGAAATCAAACCCGGTTCTCCCAGATTAGAGTCCACGCACTTAACCACTACACCAAACTGGCTCTTTTGAGAATGCATTTAAAGTTAAAGTTGCTTTCTTTCTCACCTCAAGCTTACCCAGAGAGGTGAACACTGGCTGGGGAAGGGAAGACCAATCAGGAAGCCACACAATAAGTGTGAAGAGTCGCATGTGGCTCCTGAGCCACAGTTTGGCCACCCCTGGTTATATTTAAATGTCTTCTAGTTCACAAGCTTATTTATTACCTTCCTTGCATTAACTTCACACATAGAACATCATCACATGAGTGTTATCTATGTATCTACCTTAATACCAGGTAGTCCAGGAAGCCCCGGGAGTCCAGGTTCACCCTGTAAAGTGAAATTGTACAGTATTATAAGACAATACTAAAGGATCCAGAAGAATAATAACACTGATGTATGAGTACTTTATTGTCCTTTTATTGATTGTTGGCTGCTTTGAGGGTCTTATTGACGATGAAAAGACTAAAAACATTTTAATAAATAGCAAAAATCAAGCAAAGTCCATGCAATATTACTTTTTAGAACCTGAATTCTGCCCCTTAAAAATAACTTTAGTTTTTAAAAATGGAATTAAAGCAAAACTGTAATACTTTATTATATGCACAAGTCTAATAGAACTAGAAGTTCAGCTCATCCCACTCAGACTGATTCCATGACTACAGTCCACTAAGAGATCCATGAGAGCCCCTTTATAATATTTTAGTTGCTAGGAGGCTTATACAGGACATGTAACTAGAGCATTGTGCTTGCTCTTTCTATTTATTTTTTTTATATGGTCTCAGGAATTACTACCCAAAGCCATCATCTCATCAAAGTCTAAAGCAATGTGGATGTCATGGCTGTGAATTAAAAAAAAAATCACTATTTTATCCATTCTGTCAAACATGAATGTAATGGAGTAAGAGCCACTACACTGATACTACCTATATCTCTGGTAGTTATTCCCCACCTGACAAAAAAGCAATAACTGAGAATATGATTCTAACACCCTTGTAAAAGACTCCATAGAACATTTAATACACAATTGTAATGGTTTCATAGATTAGTTCATATAAAAGTGTTTAATTAGCCTTTATAATTAAAAGTGAATCTTATTAACAAATTCAATTTGCATATCAGAACAGGCTTTTAAAAAATAAATAACTATTTGTTACAAATCATTACCACAACTATTTTTTGAAAACAAGGATTTTAAATGAAGTACTCATCAGTGTTTCTGATTTTTGCAGGTGATTGGACCCAGTGATGAGGCACTCTTTAAATTCAAACTTTGAGTTAAGATAGGTTCAGCGGACTGCACAGATGCAACTCCAAGACTCTCCAAAGATCAAGGGATCAATTCTGTTAGGATTAGTTTTACTTTACTCTCTAAAAGATTTGCCTGAGGACTGTGAGAGCCCCTTTATAATATTTTAGTTGCTAGGAGGCTTATACAGGACATGTAACTAGAGCATTGTGCTTGCTCTTTCTATTTATTTTTTTTATATGGTCTCAGGAATTACTACCCAAAGCCATCATCTCATCAAAGTCTAAAGCAATGTGGATGTCATGGCTGTGAATTAAAAAAAAAATCACTATTTTATCCATTCTGTCAAACATGAATGTAATGGAGTAAGAGCCACTACACTGATACTACCTATATCTCTGGTAGTTATTCCCCACCTGACAAAAAAGCAATAACTGAGAATATGATTCTAACACCCTTGTAAAAGACTCCATAGAACATTTAATACACAATTGTAATGGTTTCATAGATTAGTTCATATAAAAGTGTTTAATTAGCCTTTATAATTAAAAGTGAATCTTATTAACAAATTCAATTTGCATATCAGAACAGGCTTTTAAAAAATAAATAACTATTTGTTACAAATCATTACCACAACTATTTTTTGAAAACAAGGATTTTAAATGAAGTACTCATCAGTGTTTCTGATTTTTGCAGGTGATTGGACCCAGTGATGAGGCACTCTTTAAATTCAAACTTTGGGTTAAGATAGGTTACTCTCTAAAAGATTTGCCTGAGGACTGTGAACAGCTCAGACAGAAACTAAATATACACCTCCATACATGGATACTTCTTTGGGTCTTTGTGATATTCCATCTACCAGTTTCCAGATCTGAATGCCTGTATCTAAATGCCTAAAACAGAACAGGATTCTTTCTTCCCTCCTTCTTCCCTGCTATGTAATAGTCTTCCTTTTTCAGAGGATACCAGAGGGACTCAACATTTATGCAGGGTGGTTAAGGAATTTGTAGGGTGTTTTGTTTGTGAATTTCAACTGTTGGCAATTTCTGATTTTTCTGATGGAAGCATGTTTTTTCACCACCTGGCTAACTTTTTGGTTAATTTGTTAATTTGGGATGGGGTGGATAGCACTGTTCCCTCTAAGTTAAGTTAGTGTGAGCTAGCTCACAGTTTTTTAGCCTCCAGCTCACACATTTTTGTCTTAGCTCCAGAGCAAACTAATTTATGTAGTAGCCAAATCACTTGCTAATAACTTTAATGCCAGTAATTCACAAAGTAGAATTTTTGCTCACAAGACTCCACAGCTTAGAGGGAGCATTGCATAATATGTATTTTGTATTTACTGTAATGGGACCTGTGGATCATGAAGGACGGGGAATAAATTAATAAATTTTTATGTTGGTAAGATAGCATGTGTCAAAATTGTTTTTTTTTAAGCTATCAATTATGGAGAAGAACATAGTATAATAAACGTTATCATTAATGTTGCTTGGTTCCCTGGACTTCACAATAAGGAAAGGCTTTGGAAAATGTTACCTTTTGTCCTGGTCGACCTGATTCTCCAGGTTCCCCCTACAATTAAGAAACAAATGATGAAATCCAACATAGGGGGATAGATACCAACACAGAATGTACTACTGTTGCCACTGTGTGTCAAAGCAAAGAAATTATCACTTCTACTTTACCTTTATTCCTGCAGCAGAAGACCCAGGATCACCCTGATAATAAAATCCAGGGAAAGACAATGATTATTGCATATGTGAAAATTAATTGGAGAGTTAACAGCTTAGTAAACATTTGTAACCATGGTGACAACCAAGGTGAATGAATATGTACAGCAAAATTCCTTGTTTGTGAGACCACAAATGAGCAGGCAATATTAATTAAGAGCCCAAGTCAAGGAACAAATGCAGATGAATAAACTTGGTTGCTGATTCGGCTGCAACTAAACAGAAGCATTTAATGATGCTCAAAGAAGTCCATAAAATTAAAATTAGAAAGTGTACAGGTTGGACTATGTGCTTTTTGTACATATGTAAAAATATCATGCCTGATTCCTTTGAGAAATAACTTCTCCTGACAAGAATCAGGGTTTATGCGTCAAAACCCATAAATTAACAAACATCCAGAAAGAGCACTATAACCATTCATTTATCCTAAAACAAGACCTGCTAAAGTGGTTGAAGTTCATCATAGTATTTATCTTGTCAACTTAAATCTAGTTAGACATCACAAATGCCAGGATGAGAGGGTGTTCATATTACATTCACTCAAGAAAATGTTTTGCTCCGATGGAGCACCTTCCTTTCAGCTCACCTCTCCCCCGCATTTGATCTGTTAATTCTGCAGAATTAAAAATGCTAGAAGCATTTAACCAAATATAACCTCTAAGAAGGTCTGCATGATGAAGCTGAGGAAAACTGAAGCATTCATTTGAATGCAGAAGCAGACATTTGTAATGTGTTTTCAGCTCACCTAACATTGATTTGCTCTAACACAACCATCATACAAAAAAAGGAGACCTAATGTGCAGAAAAATTCAGTTGTATTCTGTCTGTTCATAATTTATTTTCCAATGCTGTTCTAGGAGTTTGGGGTCAGGGAAGGGTCATTGTCTCATTTCATCTTTACAGAACTATGATGCAGACTAAGGTCGAATCTGCATTTGTCTTTCCCACTGGTGTCCCAGCCTTCTGACTCCGTCTTCAAAAAAGCTGTCTACATTTGCTTTCGTTTTCAAACCTCAACAGTGCTAACATACTTTTGCATGTCTGCATATGTTTATCACCCTCTCGTGGCGGCTCCACTGTCTCCAAACTGCTTTAAATGAATCTTCTCCAAACAACGTTCAAACAAGCATAGAGAAAGATGGCGTCACAGCAGCACAAAATTGATTTTAAAATGCAAATGCAGATTCGACCTAACAGTGCCATCCAAAGCAGAGTTATGCCTTTTTAAGTCAATTGAAGTCACTATACGTAACTATACTTAAATTGGCATCACAAGCAGGGCAACAGGGACCCTGATGAAAGGAAATACTTTTTCAAAAATGTGGGGACAGAATGGACTGTACCATTATAAACTGCAGGGGAAATTTTACATTAACAATTCCCTGAAACTGACAAATTAGCACAGCATGTGAGCAGTGTTCCCTCTAAACTGAGTTAGTGTGAGCTAGCTCACAGTTATTTTGCCCCCGGCTCACACACTTTTGTCTTCGCTCAGGAAGGATGGCTCCAGAGCAAACTAATTTATGCAGTTGCCAAATCGCTCGCTCACAAGTTTAATACCTAGCAGCTCACAAAATAGAGTTTTTGCTCACAAGACTCCACAGTTTAGAGGAAGTATTGCATGTAAGGGACTATACTGGAATTTTCCTCCTTGATGTTTTAAGTCTGTGTTTGCAGGAACTTTTCACATGAGGGAGCATAAAAAATGTTACTTGCTCACCTGCAGCCTTTAATGGTACATACCAGTTTACCACCCCAGAATTATATCACCAGATTCAGTCTAGAAAAGGCTTTAGAATGTTTCAAATGTGGTCTAGACAAATTAATCAAAGTAAGGTCTTGCAATCATTATTAGCTGTGATTCCTAGATGGGACCTCCACGTTTGGAGGTACTATTCCATTAAAGACAGATTCTGGAAAGCATAAGAACATAAGAAGTGCCCTGCTGGATTAGATGAGCTGTGAATCTAGTCCAGCATCCTATTTCAGCAGCCAAACAATTGGCCCTGTTTCAGTGACCAAACAGTTGCCCTGGAGAGCCAATGAACAGGTATATAAACCAAAGCCCTCACAGATGTTTGGGTTTCACAGGTTTACTGCTTCTGCATGTAGAGGTTCCTTTTACTCAGCATGGCTAGTAGCCATTGATGGACCTATCGTCCATGAAATCTATCCCCATTTTAATGCCATCTATGTTTGTGGCCACCGGTATATCCACAAGCACCAGATTCCACAATTTAATTACTTATTGAGTAAAGAACTCCCCCCCCCCCGAACAAAGTTTGAGTCCAGTGGCAACACCAACAAAGTTTAATTCTGGGTATAAGCTTTTGTGTGCATGCAAACGTCTTCAGATAAATTTTCTTTCCTGTATCTGTTGCCCATCAACTTCATGCATGCCCCCAAGTTCTAGTGTTATGGGAAATGGAGGGGAAAAAATCCCTCTGTCTGCTTTCTCTGTCCCATGCCTAATTTTAGAAAACTATATCATACTTCCCCTTAGTTGTCTTTTTTTCTGGACTACAAAGTTCAGACCCTTCTGTCTATCAAAGGTGCTTTTCCCAGCTCTGAGTTACATGGGGTCAAGGATGCAACTAATTTAGGTTTGTTCTAAAATCTCTTTTCTAATTTGCTATTGTCCACTAATATAGTGACATCTTTTTGGCACTTTTCAGTAGAAACTGTACCTTCTCTCCTGCATCACCTTTCGGCCCAGCTTCACCCGGATCACCCTAAAAATAAAAATAAAAATATTTATACTGTGTTTTGATTCACCAGCAACCACAATTAAAATCCAGAAATAAGTGGGTTTTTTTAATTATGGCAGGTTTTTTTAATGATACTATAACTTTAGAGCACAGAAACTAAAGAAGGTAATTGAATGGAGGGATTATAGACTGCAATAAACCAGGACTATATGAATAAATGTAAGGACTTACAGTTGTGCCTGTTGTTTAAAAAGCATGTGTCAGCCCTCTCTCTATACAGTAATCAAATCTACTCAAAACGAGTTTAAATGGAAAGGAGGTCCCATAATTGAAGGGTCTTCATTTACAAAAGCAATAACCAAATAACATTTTTCTTGAAAAGTATTGTGGTTACAAAAGCCAGTCGACAATCTTATCTGATACTGACTTTTCCATGAGAGCAATTTCTAGAACACGTTGGTAAGATGAAGCAAATGGACCTGCAGGTTTCCACTGCAAAGCAATTTCCATCTGAGCAGCAGTCACGGCTGGTTTACCTGCCAGGCAAACCCAAGCAGCAGCTTAACACGCCACCTTTTATATTCTGCACTGCCGCTTGGGTAGAAGTCAAGTTGTAGAACCACAGACACCACTACTGGGACTTGTCTTCTCCCCGTGGTAAATGGGGCATTTCTGGAAGGTGTACTGTCAGATCTCCCCCTAAGCAGGCGGTTGCCCTAAGATGTAAGATGTCAGATCTGCCCCCCAAAAGTGATGGTCTGTGACAGATTTTAAACTGTTAATACTTATTGGAATATTTTAAAGGGAGGTGAGTACATATTAGGGGGAAATTCATTACTAGGTCCTAATGTAATGCACTCTACATAGATCTCCCCTCAAAGTCAATTCAGAGATTCCAGTTAGTCCAGAATGCAGCAGCTAGATTATTACTGGGAACTGGATGGAGATTGCATATCACTCCTATTCTGCAATCATGTTACTGGCCATGCATCAGTTCCTGGGTTCAGTTCAAGGTATTGACTATCACAAACAAAGCCCTTCATGGCCTCGGTCCCTTGTACCTGCAGGACTACCTCTCTCCCTATGCTCCGCCACAACAGCTTTGCTTATTTCAGCAGGGCCTTCTGCAGATGTCAGCCTGAAAACAGTCTCCAGGCTTTCCACTGCAGGTGCCAGTCTCCTGGCTTTCCACAAACAATGCAAACTGTGGCTTACACTACTGTATTTCTGCCTATCACTGTAATCATGCTCTGACTAGGTAGTTTCTACACCATTTAGTGTGTCATGTTTAAATATGCTTTGTTCCACCTTTGTTTTAGATTTATGTATGGTTTTGATTTCTGTAGTCCCAGCCCTATTGCACTGTTCATTGGAGGTTAGGCTTGCCAAGTCCCCCCGGGGGGTGGGGAAACCCCTGCCTGAGAGGCCCATTACCTGCCGCCGCCGGATCAGGCCCTGGGGGGAACCCCACCCCCCAAAGCACGCAACGTGCCCGGCATCAGCATATCACCCGGAAGTGACGCAGTCGCGTCGGGCACGTTGGGGGCGGGGCCGTAGTCATCCGAGGATGATTGTGGCCCCACCCCCAGCATGCCCGACGTGGTTGCGTCACTTCCGGGTGATGTGGTTGCGGCGCACACGTGCTTTGCGCATGCACATGGACTCCCAGAGCGGCGCTGGAGTCCCCCGCTCTACATACAGCGAGGACTTGGCAACCCTAATGGAAGTACTATCCCATAGAATGTACTTGACTTATACTATGTAATCCGTCTTGAGTCTCAGCAAGAAAAGTGGACTATAAATAATGCAAATATATAAAAATATTCACTCAATTGTTCCAAACAAGAAAAGTAGCAATTGTGAATGGGTACTGCTTTCATAGGCAGCATGGAAAACAGCAAGGAGAAAAGGCAAGGCTCTAAAAGAGACATCAGGAATTTTAAACGCATGTATTCAATTCTTAGGGAAGGGGCTGTGTGGCTCAGTGGTAGATCATATGCTTTATGTGCACAAGATCCGAAGTTCAACCCTTGCATCTCCAGTTAAAAGGGTCAAGTAGCAGGTGATATGAAAGATCTCCACCTGGGACCCTAGAAACCTGACAGTCGGAGCAGACAATACTAACCATAACAGTCCAAGGATAGGACTCAGTATAATGCAGCTTCATGTGATTTTTAATGTGATTCTATGGAATTATCGTTGGACAGTTACAGTAAAATCCTAAATAAAGATACATCCATCAAGGCCAACTGACTTCAGTGGATTTAGAAGGGTGCAATTCTTCTAAGACTGCATTGGTAATCTCCATATGAAGCTAAAAGATGACGAAGGCCTATGGAACAAGTTACCCAGTGTGAACAGCTTGGAAATAAATTGAAAAGTTCTAAGTAATCACAAGACTAAGCTGCACAATTCCAAGTTAGCTGGTGTTTAAGAGTTTAGTTCAGATGTATAAGATTTATTTATTTATTTCATTAGATTTCTTGACCACCCTTCCCTGCTTAGAAATTGGTCATCTATAAACTAGAGTTTATGTATTGCATGTGTTGCATACAGATATTCACATTGCCACACTGCAACAGGCTTTTTATGTGGTGCAAGGTTTGGTGCAGAGTTCTCATCATGAAAGAAGGGAAAAATTAGCATGAACTCGTGCTACTATGTAACGTATCCTCTGAATTGCAGCTCTAAAATTTAATCAGCATTTTCAAGAAATCATTTAAAATAATACACAAAATAATTCTCTATGAAACAACTAGTTGGTTGCAAAATACAGAATCAGTACTAGATTCAAGAATTTGGCAAACGTTAAATGACAATGCTACATGTTGCTATGTTATAATTCTCAGAAAAACTTTAATGATCTGAACACACAGTTCTGTGTAATGTAGACCTCTTGGCTAGGGAGGTTCTTGTAGCCTAAAATACTACTAGGGGAAGGCATAGCTATGTGTTGAAGCAGAAGGATACATCCTTCTTTGAGAGACACATTCTTAGACAAGAGCTGTATATAGTTTCATTTATTTATTTGTTTAAATATTTATATCCCACCTTTTCCCATGGCTTAATACAACTTACAAATCAAAGCTATGGTACTCTACAGTGGTATAAATATGGAGAACTCAAAACTATCTCCCTTATATATAAAAGCCGAATGGTGGTGGCACTTCTCTAGAACATTCCACGCG